TAAGGATTTGAAATAACGTCTTTCTTTGATCACAACAGAATTAGAGTAGAATCTTCAAAAAGATTGTACTTACTATTAGAGAAAGGGAGCATGCGCCCTGGAGAAGGAGAAGCCAACTCCCTGCTGGGCAGGCAGCGTGACCCACGGCTCAATCGCAAGACTCAGGGCTCACAACCTGAGCCAAAGGCAAATGTTTAACACACTGAGCCACCCAGGTGCCCCTGGGGTAGAATTTGTAAACAGAAAAATAATGGGAAAATTTGCAAACATGCAGAAATTAAACATCTACTCCCTAATAACCTGTGAGGGAAAGAGGAAGTCTTGAGGGAAATTTTAAGTATTTGAAGTAAATGGAAATGAAAAATACAAGATATCAAAGTGTGTGAAAAGACACTAACCCAGTGTCTATAGGAAAATATATGTATAATGATGGACAGATATTACAGAAGAAGAAATGCTCAAGTTAATAATATAAGTATTTACCTTATGAATCTAGAAAAGTAAGAACAAAATAAATCCAGAGCAAGTGGAAAAAGGAATAAGAAAGATAAGAGCAGAGATAATGAACCTGATGAATCTAAAAAAAGCATATTTACAAAAATCCCTGCAGTTAATATCATCCTTAGTGATGGAAACTGAAAGGTTTTCCTTGAATACTGGGAAGGAGGCAAGGCTGTTTGTTCTCAACACCGCTATGCAGTATCCCCTGGAAGTCTCATCAGTGTGATAAGACAAGAAAAGGAAATAAAATAATATACTGATCGGAAAGGGGAAAGAGAAAACCTGTGTTTATTATGAACACTGTTTATATGTGTGTCTGACAGAAAATCCCAGGGTTTCTACAGAAAATTCCTAAGACTAATAGGAGAGTTCCCCAAGACTGCAGGATACAAGGCTACAGGGAGGGCAGGGACCCGTCATGACACTCGTCAGAATCTAACACATATTTAGAAGTCCATGCTCTGGGTCATGGGGAGTGCACTGAGGCTTCTGAGTGGTCTGCAGACACAGAGAGTCATCTAGTCCATCTCCATTGATCTCTGCTCTAATCAATGCATAGAAATCAGTTGCTTTCTTATGCACTAACAATGTAACTGTAGAAAGACAAATTAGGGAATCGATTGCTTTTACATTAGCACCAAAAACCATAAGATACATTGGAATAAACCTAATGAAAGAGGTAAAGGGTCTATACTCTAGAAACTACAAAACATTTAGGAAAGAAATTGAAGAAGATGCAAAAAGATGGAAAAACACTCCATGCTCATAGATCAGAAGAACAAACATTGTTAAAATGTCTGTGCTCCCCAGAGCAATCTAAACTTTCGACACCATCCCAATCAAAATACCAATGGCATTTTCCAAAGTGCTGGAACAAACAATCCTAAAATTTGTATGGAATCAGAAAAGACCCTGAATAGCCAAGGAAATGTTGAAAAAGAAAAACAAAGCTGGGGGTATTGCATTGCCCGATTTCAAGCTACATTACAAAGCTGTGATCACCAAGACAGCATGGTACAGGCACAAACACAGACACATAGATCAAAAGAACAGAATAGAGAGCCCAGATATGGATTCTCTATTCTGTGGTCAACTAATCTTAGACAAAGCAAGAAAAAATCCAATGGAAAAAAGACAGTCTCTTCAATAAATGGTGCTGGGAAAATTGGACAGCTATATAGAGAGGAATGAAACTCGACCATTCTGTCGCACCATACACAAAGATAAACTCTAAATGGATGAAAGACCTCAATGTGAGACAGGAATCCATCAGAATCCTAGAGGAGAACATAGACAGTAGCCTCTTTGACATTAGCCACAGCAACTTCTTTTAAGATACATCTCCAAAGACAAGGGAAACAAAGGCAAAAATGAGCTTTGGGACTTCATCAAGATAAAAATCTTCTGCACAGAGGAAATAGTCAATAAAACAAAGAAGCAACCCATGGAATAGGAGAAGATACCTGCAAATGACATTATACATAAAGGGCTGGTATCCAAGATCTATAAAGAATTCCTCAAACTCAACATCCAAAAAACCAAATAATCAAGTTAAAAAATGGGCAGAAGACATAAACAGACACTTCTCCAAAGAAGACATGCAAATGGCTAACAGACACAGGAGAAAATGGTCAACATCACTAGCCATCAGGGAAATTCAAATCAAAACCCCATTGAGATATCACCTTCCACCAGTTGGAATGACAAAAATTGAAAAGGCAGGAAACAACAAATGTTGGAGAGGCGGTGGAGAATGGGGAATCCTCTTACACTCTTGGTGGGAATGCAAGTTGGTGCAGCTACTTTGGAAAACTGTGTGGAGGAAAACAGTGATGTGTCTCCTCAAAATGTTAAAAATAGAGCTACCCTAAGATCCAGCAATTGCACTCCTGGGTATTTACCCCAAAGATACAGGTGTAATGAAAAGAAGGGCCATATGTAACCTAATGTTCATAGCAGTATGTCCACAGTTGCCAAACTGTGGAAAGAGCTGAGATGCCTTTCAACAGACGCATGGATAAAGAAGATTGGTCTGTATTTACTATGGAGTATTACTCAGCCATCAGAAAGGATGAACACCCAACTTTTACATCAACATGGACGGGATTGGAGAAGATTTTGCTGAGTGAAAGAAGTCAAGCAGAGAGAGTCAACTATCATATGGTTCCACTTGCTTGTGGAGCATAAGGAGTAACATGGAGGACTTTGGGAGAAGGAAAGGAAAAATGAAGGGGAGGAAATCGGAGGGGGAGATGAATCATAAAAGACTATGGACTCCGGGAAAGAAACTGAGGTTTTTAAAGGGGAGGGGGGTAGGGGGTGTGTGAGCCCAGTGATGGGTATTAAGGAGGGGACGGATTGCATGGAGCACTGGGTGTTATACACAAACAATGAATCATGGAACACTACATCAAAAATTAATGATGGCAACTAACATAACATAATAAAAAAGTAAAAAAAAAGGTAATGTGTGCATTTGTACAATAAACCTAGTTCTGAATCACACAGCTGAATGGCTGGAGGCTGGTGTGTGTGTGTGTGTGTGTGTGTGTGTGTGTGTATGTGTGTGTGAGCACTTCTGTGCAGACACTGAGGTTTTCAGGATGAGAAGTGTCTCTTCTTTCCTCTGATCTGAGGGGATCTACCTGTTTCCAGTGGATCTCCAGGCTCAGCTGCAAGATGGAGAGGAAGGGACATTTGAGACACACTTTGTCTTATTTGAGTTACCGATTCTGGCCAACAGCAGGCTTCTTTGTCACCTGGGGGAACAGTGGTAGAGCATGGAAGGAGAGAAAGTGTCTCTCTTACCAAGAGTAAGAAGGAACCTTACAGTATTTCCCTGGGCTCAGGTGAACAGCTCCCACGCACCCCCCCAACACAAGCATGCACTTTTATTGCCTGATTACACACGTGATCACAGCTTCTGCTTTCCTTCCTGTGGGAGAGGAGCTCCTGCTCTTTCTCACCAGGTTCCTGGTATTACAGAAAGGGAAGTGGGGGACATGACCCTGCGAGGAGAGGGCAGAGGACACAGGGGCATGGGTGTGGCTGGTGGGGCTGGGGGTCAGTGTTTGGGATCAGCAGAGGGGGTGGGTGGGGAGGCTTCCCTGAGCATCAATGGTGTGACTGGTCCCTGAACCCCAGGAGCCGGGGCCCCAGAGAAAGAAGGACACGGGGGATGGGAAGGGTCCTGCCCAAACCTTGGGAAACACCACCCTGTGAGTGAAGAGCAGCTCTGGGGGGATGGCGGAGAGTCTGGGAGGATGGCAGGTGGGCCCAGGGGTCCAGGGGAGTGGCCTTCTGGAAACCTGAAGACAGGGGGTTGGACCAGGAAAGGGGCATCAATGGTGTCACATGGGGGTCACCTCCTGGCACTCTAGGGTACCCTGTGAGGTGAGGCCAAGGTGCGGGCTCAGGTGTGGAGCAGGGGCAGCATGGGGACCGGGTGAGGGCTGCAGGGGAGGAGCCGGCAGGGTCAGGGGGACGAGCCAGAGAGAGGCATGCAGGAGACGACAGGTCCCCAGAGAAGGGCCCCGAAGTCCAGGGAAAAGTCCTCACTGAGCCCCGAGGAGCTCCGTGTGCTGCGTGGGGACAGCAGAGAGGGGATGCGGGTGTCACTCTATGCAGTCAGTTAAAGCTCACTGTCAGGAACTAGAAACTTCTGCCTGTGCTGAGCAGTAGGAGACCGGACCATTGACCAGCAGGACAGGACAGAAGGAGGTTGGCCAGGACGTGGGACAGACAGCCGAGGCCTGGAGAGACGGGCCTGGAGCTCCCTTCCCTGGGCTGAGTCCTGACTCCGGCGCTCCCAGCCATGCGGCCTGCAGAGTCAACCTTTCTGGCTCCTTCTACTGATCTGTAAAGTGGGCACAAGGATCCCACCGCACAGAGAGTCCACCAGGACCCAGTGAGTTAGCAGCGAGCAGAATGCCTGAACAGTGCGGGTCGCAGAGCCCGCCCTCAGCAAGCAGGGACGATGACGAATTCACGTTGTCTGTAAAGAGCTCTCAGCGCAGGACTGACGGCTGGGGGTGCTCAAGACGGGCCCGGGGGGATGTTGTGATTCTCCACGGTTTGTCCCAGAGGCTGAGGGTCTGAAAAGCAGTTTGATGTCGTACAGATGAGGGGACAGTGGGGGCCGTAAAGTGTTGTCACGTAACAGAGGCTGAGTGTTCCTGTAACAGGTTGGGACCAATTTATTTACTTAGTTTCCCTGATCTACCACTGTGTGTGTCTCACGGGGAGCTTGTGCACAAGGATTTAGCACAGAAAGAACTGCTGGACCCATCCAGTCCCTGCTCAGAGCCATCGGAGGTGGAAGAGACAGGACAAGAGCTGCGGGCGTCATGCTCCCGAGACAGGTGTCCCCGGGGTGGGATTCTCCTGCTTCTTCCCATTAAATCGTGGTCATGGTCTGGCCTGGCCTGCGGACCTCACTGTAGACAGCAGAGAGAGAGTTCTCCTCTTCTAGATGTGGTTCTCCCCTACCCTGGAATGCAGACAGAGGGTTCCAGGAAGAGCTGAGGGATGCAGAGGACCCAGAGGGACCCCCACAGACCCAGGGCTGCTGACATGACCTCCCCCAGTGCCCAGCACTGCATGGACCCCAGGAAAGTGTCCTTAGTTAATGCTGTGTTGTCTGGAAAGGGTTACAGAGGCATGGAGACAAAAGCCAGCAGATGACTGGGATTGAAGGCACACACCCAGGCACAGAGGGACTTGGGAGAACCCCGGATGCCTCCTTCCCCAGCCTCACCTTGTCCCTGTGGTCTCCAGACTCCTGCTGGCTCAGCTCTGCATAGCGGATGCCACCATCCGGGTTCCTGGGCTCCTCCTGCGATCCTGTCCCTGAGTCACACACAGATGGAGCTTGAGTCTCAGCCTGGAAGCCTGTACCCTCCCCCTCCATGAGCCCATGGCCACGGCCACACCTGCCAGCCTCCTGCAGGGACATTCCCTGAGCAGCAAAATGCAAGAGAAAAGGAACGCAAGGTCCAGCGAGGGAGGGAGGTGTCTGGACATGGGAAGGAGAAGTGTAACCTGCCTCTCCCAGGCTCCAATTTCTTCTTTTTCCCACGTCTCTTCCAAAGGTACAGCCCAGCTCCGAGGATCAGCAGCAGGACCACAACAGGCACCAGGATACCGGGCAAGTGGGCAGCACTGGTCTGTCCTTGTGGATCTGTTTCCATCACACAGAGAGTGAAGAAGGTTAAGGCAACAGGGAACTGAGGACGCCCATTGCCAGGCACGTGGAGACTCTCAAGGGACCTGCTCAGAAGCTCGAGAGGGAGCAGCACGGCAGCGGCTCTCACTCAGCCAGGTCCCGAGCTCCTGCTTGGGGCCGGCGTGCTGAGAGGAGCAGGACATGGTGCCCGCCCTTGAGGAGCCCCTTAGTGGGTCGAGGGCTGACACATGCCAGAGGCAGACAGCCAGAGCCATCCCAGGATGCTAGAGCTACAGCTTGCACCGAGGTCATCAGGGAGGGCCTCCTGGAGGAGGTGATGGGCAAGGGAGGAGTAGGAGTTTTCCCAATATTCAGGATGAGTGAGGCATCCCAGGAAGGAGAGCCTTGACCAGGGATGGCTGTGACAAGTCCCCAGCCCTGGGAGCTGCTGGAACCCACTGGGGCAGGCCAGAGAGGGATCATGTAGGGACAGCTGGGTGGGAGGATGAGAGGGAGGCAGGAGCCTCTTTCCAGAGGGCCTAGTGGGTCCCTGAGCCATGAGCTTCCTCTGGGATGAGGGATACTGAGAGAGTAGGCCCTCCAGCAGCTGGTGGAGGAGGGATGGAGGGAGAGGGGGCTCCCGGGGAACATTCATTCATTCAGGGACTTACTGACTGTGAGCAAACAGCCTGAGGCCGAGGCTGGGACAGCATTCAAAGGAGCAGCAGACATGGCCTCTGCCCTCTAGGGTTACAGGCTGCAGAGGACACTGATCCTGGACCAGAGCATCAGCTCCCAGTGTGGGGTCACTGACCCCCCCCCCCAGAGGAGATGAGGTGTGAGGGCAGGACAGCAGCAGCTCCTGCAGGGCCCTGAGCCATCGAGGCTGAGGAGCTCCTGTGCAAACTCTCTTCATGCTGGGACTGCCCCTAGCACGCGGCCCTGTGGGACTGCCCGGGTCACAGACCCCCAGAACCAGCTGCAGGGAGGGGGTCCCTGGATGGGAATAAGTGGGGAGTGGAGGACTCCTCACTTGGAAGGGCTGAAGGCAGAGGGAGGGGCCTGAGCAGAGGCTGGCAGCCGAGGAGAGCAGGACGCATCGGGAACGCAGGCAAGCAGGTGGGTGTGACGTGTGTCTGTGAGACCAGAAAGGGGCAGAGGAGCGCCAAGCCCTGAATCCTGCAGGAGTCGCCGGCCCAGACCCCTCCGATGAGCAGCACGGGAATGACACCGAAGGGCAGAAGCAGGTTGGATGTGCCTGCCGGAGTCCTAAACGGAGTGACCAAGTGGCAAGGGGTGACATAAACATGGGGGACAGAAGCCGAGAAACCTCGCCCTGAGCTCCGTAAGCTCCGGGAGAGTCCCTCTCCTTTGGCAGGTGCACTTACTGTGGACACAGACGTCCCCAAGGTCCAGGGTGGCAGTTTTCTGGTCCACCTGATTGGTGACCACACAGGTGATGTTGGGGCTGGGCTGGCTCAGGGGCAGGTTCACAGCCAGAGTCCAGAGGTTGGGGGCTCGTCCTGAGGCCGGTCTCTGCTCCAGCTCCCTGGGGAGGCTCTCATTCTCCCAGGACACCGTTAGGTCCTCCATGGTTCCTGTGGTGTTACACTCCATGGTGATGTTGCACCAGCCTGGTGTGAGGGACAGAACCGTTTTCCGGATCTGGGGAAGGGGCACAGGCTCTGGGGCGGGAGGGACAAGAGGACAGTCTCAGGTGAGTGGACAACATCACGGCTCCTGCTTTCTCCTGTGGATTCTCCCTGAAGCTCTGGCTTCCTCCCCCTAAGGACAGGGATTGCATTTTACAGATCACAGAGAATTGACCCAAATATACGGAGGGGCTAAAAAGGAAGGGAGCCACTGAGTTCAGCTCTCTGTGATTTCACTAGACTGAGCACGTCTTACTAATCTCTCATGAGAAAATAGTTGCTGGAGGTTCCCCCAATAATCCATGAATTCTGAGAGAGTGGGGTGTCCCCTAGAAGAAGGAGAAGTCGGGAACAGGATTTGTCCTTCTCCGGGTCCTGGTCTTGATTTTTCTGCTCAGAGGGTTCCCGGGACTGCACAGTCCGTGGTATAGACGGCCACTGGCCAGCTCTGGAAGCCCAGAGATCAGACAGTCTCCACCAGGAGAGACCGCAGTGGGAGTCACTCGGAATGGCCTCCTGCAGTGTGGCTGGACGAGGCACTGAGCTTGGGGTCCACCCAGGAAGACAAGGGACAGACTGACAGTCACTCTTAGGAATCTCCGGGTCCTGAGGCTCCGAAGGCCACTCTCTCTGGAGCAGGACGACTCCCTGTGCAGGGAGGAGGGGTGCACACAGAGACAGCTGCTCCCTGAGGGTCTGGGGAAGGGCTACCCTGTGAATTCTCCTCCACCCGTGGGGGTTCAGAGCTGGACCGCGGAGTCTGTGAGTGAGCGGACTCGGGCTGGGCTGAGAAGGACGAGGGGACGGGGCGGGAGAACCACACGTGGGATTCCGGATCCTGCTAGGTGACGAGTGTCCCCCAACTATGGCCACATGCTGACCTTCAGAGCCTGAGGATGTCTTAGGTTCCATGGCAAAGGGGACCTGAGTTTGAAAACAAGCTGACTGTAAACTAGAGATGGTCTGAATTCCCTGGACAAGCCCCATGTGATCACAGGGTCCTCACAAGTGGGAGGAGGCAGGAGAGGAGGTGGGAGGGACATGGTGTCAGGGACTCATCCCACCTGTGCCACCTGTGATGGGAGAGGAAGGGGCCAGAAGCCAGGGGATACTGGTGCCACTACCCCAGAACCTCCAGAGAGAAGCACAGCCCTGCTGACACCTGGACCTAATGGCAGAGGCTCTGGGGTCTGAATCCTGCCCTATAGCCCAGGAGGACCCCAGGGGGTGGTGTGGTCAGCCACCGAGGTGCTGTCTCCTGTTACAGCAGCACAAGACAGTAAGAGTCTCACTAAGGACCCTGAGTCCTATGGGGACAATGAGTATTATGGCAAAATCCCCATTTACCCCCATTCCGTGTTCCCTCCTGAAGCACAGATGTGATTTATCCCCGGTGTGAGTCTCAGCTCTGCCTGCATTTGTGGTGACCTCACAGCATCGAATTTCTGGGGAGAAGATCGAGTCCGAAGGCTGCGGTCTGGAAGGAATCTTGCAGGTGGGGCACACGGACACTCCCGGGGACAGAGGAAGGGGGTCAGTTCTGGGACTGGGGGAGGGGCCGCCACGTACCATAGACCGTCAGGTGGAAATCCTGGTAATATTGTCTTCCTCTCGTATAGGACTCTTGAGCTCGGTACAGCCCACTGTCCTCAAGGGTCAGGTTGTCAATCCTCAGGGTCGTTGGGTTGAGCACATGGACCCTCTTCTCGAACTTGTCCTGGCAGTTGACCCATCGTGGAACATCTCCCCTGGGACTAACTTGGAGTACGGGTGTGTACAGTTTTTGATTTATAATGCCCCAAGTAATATTCTCCAGCTCGACTTCAGGAGGTAATTCTGGTTTTCTGATCATGCGAAACAGCACAGAAGCTCCTTGAATCCCCTTCAGAGTAACAGGGATTCCAGAATCCTCCACTGCAGACCCACGGGCTCCAGGACTCCGGGTCACAGCGCTGCAGACACCTAGGGCATAGGACGCAGAAAACATGGGCGGTTTTCATAAGGAACAAAGGAGGAAACCCTAGAACCCATCTTCCTGAAATCCATCCCATGTGCCCCCTTGAGTCTGGGAAGGCAGGAGGGTACCATGAGTTCAAGGCGAGGCTGGAATCCCTCCTGGTCCCAGGGGAGCGTCCCCTTGAACAGGTCACGGGAACTTGCTCACCTGCAGTGTCCTGACCCCTGACAGCGAGAGGATGAATGTCAGGAGGTCTCAGATCCAAGGCAAGAGAACATTTTGGGGCCACACTGAGAGCATTTCTGCAGGAGGCAGGTTCTTGCCGGGCTACAGAGACCCTTCATGCCCACAGACTGTGCGAGCTCTGCCCCTGGAGGGGGATCACTCTCCAGGACTCGCCTCTAAGGAGCAGAGTGCCGCTAACACAACAGACGGCCCTCTGGGACAGCAGGTCTGACAGGAGTGTGACCGCGTCTTGCTGTGACCCTGTCTCCTGCTCGCTGTGACGAAGTCTGCCGCTGTGTTGTGGGCAGCCCCTGTGTAGAGACCCTCATGGGGAGGGACGGAGGGCAGCCTCTGGCCGCCAGTCTGCAGGGTCTACCCTCGTGGAAGTGTGTCATTTAACAGCTGCTCACGGCCCAAACGGGGCTCTTGCTCCCTCCTCGTGGGACAGTTCTATTGATGTTGTCCCTGCAAACACCAGCAGCTTTGGATGGATTCTCTGCACACAGGGACTGAGGTACGTCAGCTGGGAGGGCATATCCGCGGCCGTGGGTGTGTGGACTCACACCCAGGACATACGTGTCACACGTGTGTGCCTGCCCAGTGTGCATGTATGTGCTTCACACGTGGGTGTGTAGACACTGAGATAACCCACTGGGATGTCTAATTGGCCAAAGGCAACTCCATCTCAGCTTCTGACAGACCCTGCTCATTGCCCCCCTGAAAGCGACCCCAGCAGCTGTCCCCCCAATAATGCTTCGGTTTCCCACCAACACCGGTGACCGAACTTTCTTTCTTTTTAAAGATTTTATTCATTTATTTGACAGACAGAGATCACAAGTAGGCAGAGAGTCAGGCAGGGAGAGAGGGAGGAAACAGGTTACCCGCCGAGCAGGGAGCTCGATGTGGGGTTCGATCCCAGGACCCTGAAATCACGACCCGAGCCGAAGGCAGAGGCCCCAACCCACTGAGCCACCCCATGTGCCCCCTGAACTTTCTGATCTTTGCTAAATTGGTAAGAGAAAATGCTGTGACCTCATATTCTCACGAGCATTTCTCCTGTACGTGAACCCGGTCACCACGTCCCACGGCTGTTGATGTCCTCTGGCCGCTGTGAGCCATCTGCTCCTGTCCTCGGCCGGTGCCTGTATTTCTCTTTTTAGCACCTCAGAGCTAGTTCTATATTGATAAGATTAGCCTGTTTCCTAGCAAAATAATATAAATAGTTTTGGGTTTGCATCTCAGCATTGTCTCAGACTAATGGCCCTGCTATTGTCCTCACGCAGTTACCCTTGTGGATCCTGTAAGGCTTCCCGGATTATCCCTCACATAAAAAGATCAGCCCCCACACATCAAAGTGTGCTCCTAATTCTCTCTTCTTTCCTTCTGGAACCTCCTTACTTCAGTGTTCCGCTGTGAGTCTGACGCACTGGGACCGTGCTTGGGTGTCAGACCGGGAGGTCTGTGCAGCAGGGCGGTCGGCAGCCTGGACGGGAGGGTCTGGGAGGCCTGAGACCAGGTCCTCTGTCCCCTTGAGTGAGTGGATGGGAGCAGCCACGTGGCCCGTGTGCTTTCGGCCTTCCCTCTGGGATGGGAACGTACTAGCCGTCTGCCCCCAGAATGAGCGCTAGGATGTCAGGAGAGGAAGGCGTTCCCATCCGTGCGAGCTGCTCTCACCACCACGATGGTCCTTGACAAGTGCTCCGGGGTCATCTCGGCCTTCCCAGGCTCAGGATGGAGCCCATTTCTCTCCCCCAGCTGCCCCTCTGGGCTCCTCCTGGGATGAGGGATGGGCCCTGGGACACAGACGTCCAGGGTGCGATCCCATCGGCGGTCATGGAGAGTCGAAGTCCTGCCGGGGGCTTCCTGACCCAGAGGACACTCCTGGCTGTGTCCACAGCAGCTGGCTTCCGTGGCCCCTGTCCCCTCCCTGTCCCCAGGTGGCTGAGCCCCCTGAGCTGCTGGTGGAGACAGAGGGAGGACCGGTACTCCTTCTCCCACGCGCGGGTGACAACAATGTCTATCGCGCCTGCGCTCGGTGTGCTCCTGTCCCCTCTCCTCAGCGGGTCGTCTCGTGACTGGACAGTACTCTGGGCTCATTCAACGCGATCCTATGGATTCTGGGCTGATTCAAGCACAAGTTCGGGGGGCGCATCCTCCCGAAAGCACCGTGAAGGACGTGCGTCCTCTCTCTGTCGGCCACAAACACAATGATCCCGCGCACACACAGGACATCGGTGTCGCTCCGTCGCGCTTCCTGGTGGCCTGGAGAGGGCTGGACTTTGACTCTTCCTGGGACGGGATTTCCTCGTGAATTCATGAAGAACAACAGTGTCCTGTCACACCCGTGTCCCGTCACACCCGTGTCCCCACCCAGTCTTCAGTCGGGGCACATCTCGTGTACAAAATACACAGAGTGTGGTGCCCACAGGACGCCAACCACAGTCAGAGAAGCCGTCCTTGTTCCAACAGGGGGACGGTGCCCGGGGCTCCCTGAGGGACAGCAGATCCATCCGCAGGGTGGCACCTGTCCGCGGGCTGCTCCCCAGGAATTCTGAGCCCACGCTGTCGCTCTTAGTGACCCCTGTGTGTGTCAGAGGGGTCCGCCCCAGGGGATAGAGACATGGACGCTGGCGTTTCTGCCGACCACGGGCAGCAGCCGCGCGGCTCCAGCCAGGCTGTTCCTGAGGGGCTGCTCGACAGCACTCCCCACCCCCCGCCCCCGCGGCATCTGGCTGTCCTGAGCGGGCCCTGCACACTGGGGTCCACACACCGGGGCAGGAGCTCGGCAGACCCCACTCAGGAGCAGAGACAGAGACAGCAGATGGTCCGAGGACTGCAGGGAGCCTCGAAAATGCATCCTTTCCTCCTTGGAGGGCGGAGGAAGTGACCACTGGTAGTCCTGGGCTCTGGGTGCTAAAGGGGCCCAAAGCAGACTCCTCGACTGTCCGTCCCCATCAGGATGCAGGACGAGGACAGGACAAGAGGGAGACACCGAGTAGAGGCCTCAGAGAAGCTACAGGACAGTCCCATCCGGGAGAGAACCCCCAGTCCCAGGATGTCACAGCTGGAGGGTCTTTGAGGGGATCTTTCACAGAGAAGGGGTTCCCTTGGGTGGGTGGACTGGTCTAGGTTATCCAGGGCAGAACCAGACCTTGAGGTGGCTTCCATCTCTCCCAGCCCAGTGCTTCCCCTGCAGGGAGATGACCTGCACCCTCCCTGTCCCTGCTCTTTCCTGCCCTCCCCCTCCACTGCCCTTCATTCCTCCCTCCCAACTCTGCTGTCTGGTCAACAGGTCTGAGCAGAACTGGGGTCACATGCCTCAACTATTGTCCCGGGAGAGGGGACTCAATACTCGGCGGGCTTTGGCAGGGCGGGGACGCAGGGCTACCTGAGGGTTAACCGGCCCCTGCTGGAAAGGGGGGAACGCAGGACAGCGGAGGTCCAGCCCTCGGGCTGCGGGGGAGGAGCGGCCCAGAAGCTGGACGCCTACTCAGGACGGGAGGAAGACAGGACAGTGCTCAGATGTGCAGAAGGTGCTGACCCCAAAGAGGGACAGAAGGTCAGGGGCGGGTGCTGTGAGCAAGAGAGCCTGAGTTTATTTAAATTAGATGAAATTTGACTTTCAACCATTAACATAGAATTTTGTCCATTTCCCTCTCATCCTTCCTTTCATTCTTACAAAATCTTCTAACCCTGATATTTATGGAAGAGAATTCTGTGATTTCCCATTATATCTCTAGTTAAACCGATTGAAAAGAAGAGAAAGCCTACATTTACCAACAGGAAGTGATTTTGTTAAAAAAAGGGTCTCAATGATTTCCAAAGCTCATTTTCTAATGAGTAATGCTCCTGTTTACAAATGTCCCGTGTTTCCAGAATTTCCCTAGAATTGCTGCAGGAACAGAGGGGCTGCTGTGTTTGCAGCAAACACTACAGATAATAACAGCTTCCCAAGCTGTCCCCAGAATTCACAGTTCTGGAGATCTTACTGTTTTCTCCTTTGTTCTTATTTCATTTGTTACACATAAGCAATGGACTCCGATGAAGTTAAGAACCAGAAAATGGGGCTTTTGTTAAAACAGTCTTTCAGTTCTCTTTTGGGGCCCCCTCTGTTGCCCCCCAGGTACCCCCACCCAGAGCCCAGGTCAGCAGTCTCCCGTTCCCGGGTTACCCTTACACACGGCCGGTGGGCGCAGACCCTTGAATTCTGGGGGCTCCTTCCCTTGCAAACAGAATGTCACTGGATTCGGGGCCTCATCTTGCCCGAGGAGCCAGACTAGCACGGCCCCTCCCGCTCAGACGGGGGCTCTGGG